TGCAGCTTAACTTGCAAAGAGGATCAGGGCAACGGGGCTCCGGCGCTACGGCGACCGGAAAAGCCTAGGTTTGCGAAGCAGCTCACGCATGCGCTTATGGCAGCCGTGTTGCTTGCGTGTGTTTCTGCCCTTTGGGTAGAAAAGGGTCGAACAGAGAAGCTGGGAGGAGAATTGACACAGTTGCGCGCGGACAGCGCTGCTGAAAAAAAGCAGCTTCAACAAAAACTCGATGCCGCAGAGAAAGACTTGACGCACTGCCGCGCGGACAGCACTGCTGAAAAGAAGCAGTGTCAACAAAAACTCGATGCCGCAGAGAAAGACTTGACGCAGTGCCGCGTGGACAGCACTGCTGAAAAGAAGCAGCTTCAATCAGACTTGACGCAGTTGCGCGCGGACAAAGAGAAGCTAGGATCAAGCAATCGGAGTGAGGCCTAGGTAGCTGCAGTGGGCCCATGGCTGACGAATCAAGCTGCGCGCAGCGGCATGCTGGCTTGCAAAGATAGCCGGCCAAACGTAGGAGAGTTTTGGGCCTGAAGGGAAAGCGGTCCATTCGTTGACGTGTGCCGCCAGAGTTCTGAACGCGTTTTGTGTGCATTTTGTGTCCTAGGGGCCATATGTTCAGCCAACCCCTGTTTTGACACGTGTCATTGACTGGCGGCAGCAGTGCAAAAGTTTTGCTTCAGAGTATCTAGAATCTACTCCCAAGGTGCAAAAGGATGAGCGCCTCCCGTGGTGTTGTGCACAACTGCCTTGTGAGTCCTGCCATTGGAGGACATTATAATACAGTCAGTTACGACTTAGAACATATGTTTCAACCCTTGGTTAAGGTTATTATTCTGTTTCTAGGCACTGGAAGATCTTGGAGTGCGCCAGGCTCCAAAACCTGGCCAACACATTGTCCAGAGCAGACTTTGTGCGTTTGTTTTGACCAATTGACTTCTTGTAGGCATGGGGTTCTGCAGACTTCGATTTCTTCAGGAATCTGCATCTTGCTGGAGACCTTTGCGCTCACTTCATGATTTGGCCGGGCTAAGGCAGCTATTGTGGCATTCTGAGAGTCTTGTGACATTGGTTCTGTGGACGTTGCTAGCTTTTAGCGATTTGAGGGACGCCGTGGATCTTTGTTGGGCAGTCGTTTGGGTCTCGCCCTGGCAACTCTTGGATATCACCAGACCTTATACTGATGATTGGAAGCGACACGAACCGACTTTGTGTTCTGAAAAGAACAGGAAGGGACATGTTGGAATCTGAGCATGATTAGGAATGCATGGGCTGCATGGGTGTATCTTGGACCCATTTGAGACAAAGGTGTGCACTGACAAGCAGTATTTTTTCTCCAAGTCCGGAGCTTGTCTCAGGAGCCCTGTAGCTCGGCTTCTATGACTTCATTAACCTCCGCAAGGCAGCCTGACAAGCCCTGAAGTTGCGTGTTGGTCAATCTGCCCCCTCAGCAATCAGCCTGGATGTTTAACAAAGCAAGAATTGTGGGATGAGCCTTTCCCCATATGACAATTAAGTGTCCGGCAGTTCTGAACACCTACTGAAGAATAATCTCTACAAAATGGCCCTCTCAAAGCAATTTTGAGTACACCTACCCAGCATCGGGTCCCATTCCAATAGTCTGGAGTCGGATACTTCAATTGAACTAGTTGTTTGCCCACTCAAGCTAATGGATGCATTCAACAGAACGCGCAGAGGGTATTGGCCCACGGGTCTGAGATGTCCTGGCCAACCGGGCAAGAACCAGTGCGACTAACTTCTACTTGCGCTTCTTTGTGTTTTGATCAAGTTCTCAACTGTGAGGATGCGTCAGGCAGCAGTGAAGACTACCGTTGTTTGCAAACATGGCTGACAGTTGAACGGGTTCAGTCATTTTCTCCGCAGGTGATCCAGCTTTTCTCGGTCTTTTTCTTTGCGTGCTTCCCATGCCTTTCCCCAAAGTCTGGGGTCCAGTTCTTTTCCAAGGCAACTCTGCTTCGCCGCTCCAAATCCATGAGACATCTTGCAGTGGAACTTCACACCTTTGGACCGAGGCCGAGCCTGTGAAATTGCATCGTATTGCATCAGCCTAGGTCGATCTTCCTTCAGCGGCGCCATGTCCGGCTGGGGCATTGTTGGACCATATTGTTAAAAACAACACATTTTGGAGTACCGCCCACCAGCTTGTATCTTTTGGAGTAACGCAACTTGACCCATCTGTCCTGGAGCAAGCCGTTCTGTGTGCTGAACCGTTGCCACTCCAAGCAAAGCCCAAAGGCCGCGGCCTTGCAGTGTGGCCGGGCATCCTTGTGGCACTTCCATGTCAGTAGGTCATCATGGTCATTGAGGTTTCCTTCAAGTACTGTCTTCAACTGGACTCTTGTTACTCTGAATTATTTGTCTTCCTTATAGAGCAGTGGATCAACCTAGTGGCAAGAGTGGGAGGGCATATCTGGGCAGCTCCTTTGTCCTAACGCACGGCGCTCGTTTGTCAGAACGCCAGGCAAGTCCTTGGAGCGGCTCCAGATGCTGCAGACCGAAGAGGCGTGATGAAATTGACCGGCTGACTGCAGGAAGCGCAGAGTTGAATTCAGTTATTGTAGGAGATTGCAGGCCTTTGCTAAGGGAGGATCCTGTCCACATGTCTTGAAACCCGCATTTGCCGACTCGAAACAGCTTTCAAGCGGCGTATTTTTGGGGCGTGCGAAGGATTTGACCGAAATGGTGTTGCAGTGGGCCATTCGTCTTTGGAAAGATGGGACACAGAGCCCACAGGCAGCTGATTTTCTGTGTCCCATCAGTGGACAAGTCATGTCAGAGCCAGTCATCGCAGAGGATCGCTTCACCTATGAGCGCCGAGAGATAGAGATGTGGCTCAGAATGAACGACAGCAAGTCACCTCAGACGCAGAAGCAGATTGGAAGGAAGCTTGTGCCCAATTCGAAGTTGAAGGAGGCCATTGAAAAATACAAGGAAGCTTATCAATCTGGTGTGGAAGCAGAGATTTCTTGGCCCTCTGGTGGCCTGATCCCTTCGCAACAGCGCTGCTTGCGGGTTCCTTCTAGCGCTGCACCTTCGCAAGAGGAACCCCCGCACAAGAGAGCCAGGACCGAGTGCGACTGTTCCACCAATGTCTAACGGTCTAGCTGCCCCCGGCCGCTTTGACCAAAATAGCGGGGTCCGTTGGTGCGCCGATGAACTGGTACCAAAAACAGAAAGCTGTTGGTTAGAGTGTTCCTTTGAGAGCAACCAGCCCCAAACACACTTGTACTGTACGGACACTCGCGTACAACAGTTCATTTTTCTCAGCGGATTTAGGAAGCAGGTGCATACAATCCGTACTTGTTTACCGGGCTCGCTTGATAATATGTGAGCCTTGAATTCGATGTTCACCTGATCAGGATGATGACTTTGGAGACCGGCGCCAAGAGCTCCAGTATGGCCGAGGCTATGAGTCGGTTCTTTCAAGAACTGGACCCGCTCCGAGACCTACTTTGCTCCGTCCTGGAGGGATGGCGGCCACCGCGCATCGTGGTGGTGGGCGACGAGTCTGCGGGGAAGTCCACCATCCTGGAGCAACTGGCGAATGTGCCCATCTTTCCAAGGAAGCGGCGCTTCTGCACTCGCATGGCCATTTGCTTGCGCCTTCGTCGCACACCTGGTCTGAGCAAGGCAACGCTCTTCATTTCTTCCGACATGGATGGAGTGAACCCATCAGAGGGAGGTGTGATGGAGATTCCGCAGGAGAATGGGTGGAGATTTGTGCAAGACCAGATGGAGAAACTGGCTCGCGGCCTTCATCATGGTATTGTGGAGAACAAGTTCTTGGTGGTGACCACAATCCACATGTGCGATTGATCTGGTTGACTTGCCAGGCATCACCAGCAAATCTTTCAGACGCAGTTGGACTATGACCAGCGCACCGGGAACCACAGCATGTATTTGGCTGCCTGCTTCTGGTGATGTTCGGCCAAGTACCAACATGGCAATGCGCTTTATCCAAGACAAAAAGCTCGAAGGCCGCACGTTTGGAGTTTTCTCCAAGTGTGACCAGACATCCTGCAGAGATGTCTTGCGCGCTCTAGTGCTGAACGAACCTTGTGATGATGGAGAAACGGCGGAGGTTCTGGGAAGGGTTGCTTTGAGGAGCTGGGTGACCTGCATGTTGAAGGCTCCCAATGAAAAACATCTCCAAACACACAATTTCGAGCGGCTCTTCCTTCAATCTCAAAGGGAGCAAGAGTTCTTCGAACATGGCGGTCCCGACTTGAAGTGCCTTGTTGAGAAAGAGTGCGCAGGCATCCCTTGCTTGGTTCGAAATTTGGAGGAGGCTTACTCCAACTATTTGCATAGCACATGGAAAGCAGGGGCGATGGGGAAGGTCCTCCAAAAACTGGAGGACAAAGAGGTTGAGTTCACAGAGCTGGGAGTTGTGGAAGAGACTGAAGCGAAAAACCAGCTCGCCAAGCAAGAGGTTGAGAAGCGCTTCAGTGATGATGGCCCGGATGCACCCGTGAAGCAGTTGTACTTGGAGTTCAGGGAGACAATTCTGAAATCGATGAGGCAGAGAGCCCAAGAAGTCCTGATGAGGCTGACCAACGGTGAAGTTGATGCATGTTCGCAAGGCGAACGCCTCAATCAGATTCGAGAAGCATTGAAGACTGAACTTCTTGCTCCTGTACAGCGAGTCTCCGAGCATTTTCTGGATCACTTGAAGTCGATCCTCGAAGCAGAGATTCCTCTTGAAAAAGAACCCTCCATTGCGGCAGCAGCGGGCAGCTACTGCATGCAGACCTGCCAGTATGTCAGGAGACGGTATTTTGGAAAGAGTGCCCCCCAGAAGCAGGAATTGAGGAGGATCCTGAAAGGAACTCCGTTCATTCAGCTTTGTCGCTACAAGGCCTTTACTGACGCTGTCATGCAGAAGTGCAAGAATCTGTTCGAGGAACAAGAGGACCTTATGAAAAAGAAAGCCGTGTGGCTTGCGTCTCGCTTTACCGATGTGGACAGCCCCTGGCTTCATTGCACTGCCACCAGTATTGCTTGCCCGGATGAGAGGATGAAGGAGTTCATTGAACGGGCCGAAGCAATGTTCCTGCGCCTTCTTCCGACGCCAAGTCAGTTGAAGAAGCTGCCTGACAATCTTGATGTGGGGGTGGCTACTGAGGAGTTCCAAAAGAAGGCAGACAGTTTGAAGGACGAGCTGAAGAAGATCAAATTGGCTCGCGACGGAATCAAACGAGCTCTCTTCACCGAGGAAGAGTTCGGGCAGTTCGTGTCGAGCTTTCAAACTGAACGCAGCGGCTGACCCATCCGGTTTCTCATGTCCGTGCTTGGCTTGAAAGCTTTTGGGCGCCCTGAAACCGGCGAGGTATCATGGTATGATCCCGTCGATGACCAGGGTGTCTTCATGTTTATTGGACCTGCAAGTTGCAGCGGAAGAAAAGTGATCACTGAGTGCTCAGAAATCGGAAGAACGCAACATAACTAGCAACCCAGGCAAGATGCAGCCTGCAGTGCACTTGAGTCTTTCCAGTGTCGTCCCGTGTGGGTGCATTGTGTTCACTGATCCTAAGCGATCAGAAGGCCGCTCCGTCTGACGAGTTGTTGGTCATTTTAGAGATGCCCAAGTCAGTGAGCTGTCCTTTGAACCCGTCATTTTCCAAGCCTGGGATCGCCACGTCGCCTTGAATGGATGGGGGCCTCAGACATTGTCTTGGACGCCCAAGCGTTCCTGAACCCGGAGGTCGAGGTCTCCCTAGATCTTGCTCTCGTCGCTTCCTGCTTTTTGACCGCCAGGAAGCCTGGAAGCCTGGGCAATGACCAATATCAAGGTCTGGTGGCGCCTGGCGAGTGGGAGTGTTTAGGCGATACTTCTGGCTCAGGTTGGGTCCTGTTGAACAGCTTTCTGGTATTGAAATTGGTTCATATCTTTGGCTTGGGTCTGTCCTATTACCTGTAACAGTCAGTGAACAATCAACACTATGTTTGAACAAGGCCTTTACTAGCCATCATCATCCACTGTTACTCGTAATAGGATAGGCCCACTCCATGGCACATTGTTGCAAACCAAGATGCCTTCAAGTGTCAATTTTTTTTGGAACTGTCCCATGCCCAAATCAGGTTGGGCGAGGAATGCCAAAAAGGTTTTCAACCAAATTCTTTTCTACCGATGGCTTTTCGGGTGCTTTGAATGGCTCTCAGCTCTGCCATTGGCTATGCACAAGGCCGGTGTGCAAGGAATCCTAGCAAAAAAATGTTCACCAGTCTTACATTACCGAGTGTCCAAGCCAAATTTCCAACGTGCGTTAATATGCTTGGCTTCAACGTTTCTTCATTGAAATCTGTTGCATTCTGCTTGCAGACTAATGACTGATGCACCGTGTTTTCTTGTTTTCTCAGTGACCTTGAGGAACATTTTTTCGGGATAATATCCGAACTTGTTTTTCTCTAGCGTGGCCGTCCAGGGGGTTTCTGTTGAGTTTGAATCCCAGTTTCCAAGCTTCCCCTCTTTGGGCTGCACCGGTTTCTTCCAATCTTCAGTCTCGTGGAATCGTAGATCGTTTATATTGGCTGAGTTTGATCTTGAGTTTCGTCTTCAAATTGAGAGTTTGGTGCAAGGTGATTTGCGCCAAAGTTAACGCGCCCTTGCATTATGGATCATTGTGGACCTGGCTCCGGACTTGGTTTGGGGCCAGCCGGCCAAGGGCAGAGTTTGCATTGTTTGGGCCAGACCCTGTCCAGTCTATATGTGAACTGCAACAAGTATGCACACTAGACTATTCAAGGAGCGGAGACTCAGGCCGCGCAATACCAAAAAGGGCTCACAGGGTAAGACACGTTTTGGTCGCGAAGATTCCTCAAGGTCACCAGTTTTGGTTTCAATTACTCCAGGGTTTCCAGTTTTTGGATGAGAGAGCATCCTGGTGTCTTTTGAGTCGCAAGTGCAAGCTGGCTCTGAGGTCGCTTCGTGCATCTCCCACGAGCAGTGAGTCGGAGGTGTTGTTCGTCTTCCGATCGGAAGAGACCACGAAGTGTCCAAGCAAAGTGCGTCCCTTGTAGGGATATGTGACATGTGTCAAGTTTCCGGACAAGTCCTGCTTTCTGTAGCAAGATTCTGGGAACTGAGCCTGGCATGTTGAACGCCGGCTGGGAGCTGCTACTGCTCAAGGGGGGTTCTCAAAGGAAGAGCCCCAACCAAATGAACGGGTCAAGGTGTGGGATCAGCTAGATGAACATCATAGAGATCCCATTGAAACCTGATGATTCCTTCATGTTCCTTCTGTGAGCCTAGGGATGTAAGCAATCCTTTGGTGATGAACCTGTTTGTCCGGTGGTTGCATGTGACCAGTATGTTTGTAAGACCCTGATGACTCCCTCTGCAAGGAAGCAACACCATCTCCACGTCAGTCGAACCAAGAGAGCACCCAAAAGCGCATTTTTGAGCCAGACAATCCAAGTTCCCGCGGCGCGGAAAAAAGGGGATTTATGAAAGCTGTTGTGGCGGATTAGCACGGAACAGCACGAAACCAAGCAGCACAGCACAGAGAAAAGTCGACAAAAAGAGGAGCAAACACGGAAAACAGCAACAGCACCCGCGCAAGCTGCGGAGCTTCATGATTTGCTGGAGGCACGTCTTGGAGACCATCCTTTCTTTTGGCATCTCAGGGAGGGATGTTCTACCGGACCGACCATCCGGGATGGAGGACTGGGATTTGTGAAAGAATCCTGGGACAGGTCCACTAGTGCAGCTGAAGAAGTCGATCTCGTGTTGCGGGACCACGGGTTGCGCCGACCCTCCGACCCTCCGAGCTCCCCCCGGACTCAACGACCCGGTCGGGCCGTGCCCGACGGCCCTTCCGCCTTCGTCCCCGCACCGTTCGGCACGGTCTTCGATCCTGGTGAGGTTGCTGCAAGTGGCGATCTCAGGTCCAGGCCCACGCGCGTTTTGGCGCAACGGGCCGCGGGGGCGGTGGGGTGCCTCGGGCTCAGTGGGCAATGGACGCGATGATGGACGGTGATGGTTTTCAAAAGATCTCTAGAATCTCTAGAGACGCTTTTTGGAGCAGAACGTGAAAAACACGTACTGTACTACGGTACAGATGATACCTTTTTGGAACTTTGAAAAAACAACACTGCAATTTGAGATGCACGCATTAGGGGGGTGTTTGTCTTGGGAGAGGGAGAATGTATTTTTGGGTGATTTTTTGAAGACTATTTGTGCGTTGGAGTGTCCACAGAACCCATGCATGGGGGGCCGCCACGAGTTCGTTTGCAGTCTCCGTCTTTCTCCCGTCTTCTCCCGTTCCGTCTACCCGTCTACCCCGATCCAGCTGACCGGAGTAAAGACGGTGCTTCTGATTTTTTACAAAGCAAGAGGAGGCCCGAACTTCAAGATGAATGACCCTTAATGACCCTTACTTTTGACTTCATGAACCCAAGCAACCATTGAAAAGACGTTCAGATTCGTTGACAAACAAAATTGATTGTTCAATATATGTTGGGTAAACCTTCAGCCTCATTCCTTTGGCCAGGTTGATGCATGTCTCTCGTGGAGGCAATCTTCATCATGCTGTCCTCCTCTTAGCCTACACACTTTGCCAGGAGAGCTGTGAGTTTTTCATGACATGTCCTGGACGTAGTAGCCCAGCCAACATAGAGCAGCAGCAACATCAGATTCAATATGATTCAATCAAAGATCAGTGGCTTTCCCCCTTTGGACCGTTCACCCACCCCATTTCGCCGTGCAACCAAAAGCGCAACCGGAGATCCCCATTGACTCGTCCCAAGGCTCTTCCCCGCCTGCGAGATGGTCTGCTTGCCCATCCTCGAGCAGCGCCCG